TACACCTGTCTTTAGTTCACTTTTATAAAATATGGCATTTAATCCTATGCACAGAGCACATTACTGACCACACTCAAAGACTGGAGGAGCCACAGATTAATGTATGGGGTTCTCTATCACAACCACAACAACAATGATTCGTTGTTTTATTAAAAGTATCGACAGTTTCTACATATGACCTGCTCCTTAAACTGATGACAAAATCAGAAACACAACATACACAGGCCCCAGTACAAAAACACTTTTTTCTTTCCTTGAGTTTTTGTTTACATTTGTTGAGACACGTCAGCATTTTAATAAAAGTGAGAATGGCTGTGACACACGTGGGGAATACGGAGAAGTGCCGTTGCATTAGGTATCTGAAAGTGCTGTGCCAGTCCAAGCACAATGATCTCAATCCCAGCAACCGGCTGACTCTCATGTCTGCTGCTGCTGCTGCTGCTCCAGCATGACTTCACAGGTGCGTCCCAGTTCTCCCAGTTTGACCTTGGCATACTCGGCTCGGTTCAGTGCCATCTGACAGTCCTTCCTGGCTGAATAGGTAGAACCTTCATGTGGCTGACCAGTCGCTACCTGGAGAAAGAAAAAGGAGAAACAAACTTGAATCTGTTGCTCACAATATTTCTATCATGGAGGTAAGTTCTTCATTTATAAAAATAAATATTAATAATTAAAAGAAAAACTGCATCAGTTTGTATTCGTGAACCTCATCTATCTATTAGATTTATGATTTTAAAAATTTCCTACATAACTCTTAATTAAAAACATTTTCTCTTCAGTTTTACAGTAGTACAGAGAAAACCCAACAATCAGACGACCCCGAGCACTTTAACCTTAACACACTGTAGAGTTTTTACCTTACAACAGAAAGCACACGACTGTTGTTGTGATTCGGTGCTATATAAATAAAGTGAACTGAATTCAGGGTCACATGATGCAGCCCCATCTATAAACTGAAACTTATTCAAAAGGAAAGTGTTAAGCCTGATCTTAAAAGTAGAGTGGGTCTCTGTCCTCTGAACCCAAACTGGGAGCTGGAGCAGACAGCTAAGGGCTCTGCCTCCCATTCTACTATCAGGAGCTCCAGGAACCACAAGTAAGCCTGCAGTCTCAGGTTATTATCCTAATTCATATTATCTAACTCTGTTAGGATTATATCAAATCTTGAAGATATGATGAAGCCTGATATTTTGAGACCTTGTAAATGAAGACTTTAAATTAAATTCTGGATTTAACAGGTGGGAGAAATTTGCCATGGAGAAAAGCAGATGTTTCATAAGCTATATAGATACTATAAAGCTAGTATAAAAGGTGAAATTTGGAGATTGAATCTCAGCAGCATCATCGTCCTAAATGTAAACTGGTATCTGGTACCCTTGATGAAACTTTATATTGACTGAGAACACCACAGCCTGCAGCAGGCCACCATACTGTAACTGTAAACTCTACCATAATACTCCAGATTAACCAGTAAGTGCAGTATTTCTGTGCAACGTTTGAATAATATTTACATATGCTGAGTTAGAAACTTTGAAATGAATTAGGACATTACAGCTAAGATTCAAAGTTCCAGTTTTTAAAAATCTTACTTACTGAGCAGTTCTTCTTAACTGTGAAAAACACATCTTATGCTCTGTCCTGCCTTTTTTTTTTAATATCTTTCTATAATTTTAACATTTTTTTCTCATCCTGTGAAAAACCGCAGCTTTACACCCCTTAGCAGACACACCCAGGTTTAAACAGCCAGGGGAACGAGTTGCTGCTAGAGCTCTATAGATCGATCGATCGCATAAACTGTTTTCTAGTGGAGGTGAAACCGTTTCTGAAACAGGTCTGCAGCTGTGGATTTAACCTGTGTGAGGTAGCGGATCTGCCCACTTAGTTCGTTCTCCACTCGGCTGACTGAGTTCTGGAACTGGATGAGCTGTCTGTCCATGAAGCTGGCATTGTGTTTATCTTTGGAGAGTTCAAGAACAATGTTACCTGCAAGGTCAAGCATAAACATAGAAACACGACTTGATTAGACACAAAGACAGAGTAAATTTAAAACTTGATTCTTTGTTTTAGTAAAGGACTGTGCTGAGGATTGGTCGTTGTTGTAGAGTCAGCCAAACAAATGGAAACAAATTGTGTTGTTTGTTTTGTGTCTAAGGTTACTGAAAATTGGTTCTTTGCTAGGTTTCCTGTTATGTGTATGGCTTATTAAGCCAAAACCTTTTTAACTTTACCGGTTTTGGGGGTTATTTGACACTGAGTGAAAAATCCTCAAATGTCGAAGGAAAAACTTTCAGAAAGCCTGGAAACTGCGAGTGAAACGAGGGGCTGAGTCGAGACTTTTGCTGAGGAATACATTTTCCCCTCTGTGATAAAAACCAAATCTTTACAGCGGCTGATATGTACAGAGAATAATGATGAATAAAATCAGAAAATCAGTCAAAAGTAATCAACGATGCACGGTTTGATGTAACAGCCGCAAGAAGACGCTCTCTCACCGGCACACTGCAGCACCATCGCTATCTCCTTCTCCACATCCTCCAGCGCTCTCAGCCTGTCATTAGCCATCAGCAGGCGGGAAGCAGCCGCTCCGAGGACCAGCTCAGCACAGAGATCCGAGGTGTGACCCAAAGCCACTTAATCGAGTTTAAACGGAAGAAAACTTACAACTACTGCAGTCCCTGCAACTTTACTAACGCGTTATAGTTCAGGGCAGGGTAACAACAAAGAGCTAAAAACTGACGTCACTGAAATATGATGTCATCAGAGTCGCACAGTAGTGACGTTCGCTTGGCGGAGAGGAAAGATGGCTACATCGGCTTGGCTGCATGGCCCATCTGCTATGCGACTAACTGAGGGCTTGGTGTCTGTTCTGAAAGAGCAGCGTCCGGAGCATCTGCCCGCTCTGCTAGCAGGCTACAGGGAGCACGGCGTGTTCCAGACACAGGTAGGGCCCGGCCCGGGCGAGCTCCGCGGCTGGAAGCGGCTTCAGCGTTAGCCTGCTCTCGCTGTGCGGCAGCCGCGGGAGGCTTTGTTGTACAGTGGCTGACATCTGGAAGTATGGCAGGACCATGTGCAGCAGGAGCCGAGCTGGTTCCGTGTTTCTTAAACGTTTTGATCTCACTGTGCTTTAAAACCGTCTTGTCTTTGCAGAGCGCGTGCGCCGTTGGGGGTCTCGTGGGTTTTAGCAATGCCAAACTGGGCTCGAGCAAGACCAGGTGAGGAAGGAGTACCTCAATCAGCTGCTGTCATAGGCTGATCATACTACAGTTTTTAATGTTAAGTCTTTATTTTTAAGATGTATACCAGCACCTGAGCACTGTCCTGGACCAGGGGAGGTGTTTAGCCGCATCTCGTCCTTAAATTTGCTGGCTGTCTGAGTGGTGTCCAAAAGTCATGTGGACTTTATGGATAAGGGGACACGTTCAGGGGAAAACCTGGACTTGTTAGGAGAACACGGTGTCCATCCCACTTTGAATGGAGCAGCTCTCATTTCTAGAAATCTTCCAAATTTATTAAACCCCCCCCAAAATATGACTATCCAGAGTTGGGACCAGGAAGAAGGCGTGCAGTCTTACACGCCTCTCTGCAGCTCCTCTCCTCCTGTTATCCTCCAAACCCCATCCCCATCCTCTGTGTCTCCTAAAACAACAAACATACAGCAAAAAATGATTTAAAGAAAAAAAAAGAAAAAAGTATCCACAACTGTGTCGTAAAGTGAAACAGTGAAGTGTGAATTATTAAACATTCGCCCTTTGTCTTCTTAGTCCCTGTTGTTACATGACAAACAAATCGATTTACTCTGCCTTACAGAAACCTGGTTACAGCAGGATGATTGTGTTAGTTTAAATGAATCAACATCCCCAAGTCACTTGAAGTACCAGAATCCTCGAAGCACAGGCCGAGGTGGGGGTGTGGCAGCTCCTACTTCAGCTTATCAATCAACCAAAGACTCAGAAACACTAATCCTCGTCCACCCCAGCTGTGAAACTCAGAAACCAGTCTTACTTGTTATCATCTATCGTCCACCTGGGCCTTACAGAGTTTCTGTCTGATTTCTCAGACTTTATATCTAATTTAGTTCTGAGCTCAGATAAAATAATTATTGTGGGTGATTTTAACATCCATGTTGATGCTAAAAATGACAGCCTCAACATGGCATTTAATCTGTTATTAGACTTAATTGGTTTCTCTCAAAATGTAAAAGAACCCACCCACCACTTTAATCACACTTGATCTTGTTTTAACATATGACATAGAAACTGAACATTTAACAGTGTTTCCTGAAAACCCTCTCCTGTCTGATCATTTCCTGATAACATTTACATTTACAATAATTGATTACACAGCAGGGTAGAGTAGACGTTTATCAAAGTAGATGTCTTTCTGAGAATATAATCCACCCACTGTTATCATCTTCAATGCCCTGTACCAACACAGTTCTCTACTTTAGAGGTTGATTATCTTTATAATATTTTTACTTCTTCACTGCGTGTTCCTGACTCCCTGGTATAACACTCAAATGCGCGCCGTAAAGCAGATAATTCATAAGCCAGAAAAGAAGCGCTGGCTCACTAATTTAGAAGATCTGCATTTAGCCTGAAAAGCCAGTTTGCTGCCCTCTTAAACAAAAACATCCATAAAGCTAGAACATCTCACTGTTGATCACTTATTAATGGAGTAAGAACAACCCCAGGTTTTCCTTCATCACGGCACAGAAACAGCTTTAGTGAAGGTTGCAAATGATCTTATGGCCTCTGACAGTGGACTCATCTCTGTGCTTGTCCTCCTCGATACTGTCGACCATCAGAGTCATGCTTAAAGACACTGCGCTGCAGGGATTTGAATCATGTCTGTCTAATAGACTTCTGTTTTTTTGTGAATGGAGAGTCCTCTTCACACACTGAGGTTAATTATGGAGTTCCCCAGGGTTCAGTGCTAGGACCAATTCTGTTTACGCTGCGTACTTTGTGCTTTTACAAATGATCAGCTATACTACAGGATATGATGTGTTTTATTAGCCTTGGTTCATTCTAACACATTGATGAGTCTCCATGCGACTGTCCAGTTTCAGTAGCATTTTGTTTTCAAACCTCATCTACTCACCTTTAGATCAACATCTCCTGTTGATACAATGTTATGAATGTGAATATAATTTCACACAGTCGAAACAGATTCACTTTGATACTGTATGTTTCTAACATGATTCTGTGTGAGCAGGTTCGAGGGGCTCTGCCTGCTCTCCATGCTGGTTAAAGACAGTTCCAGCGATCTATTCCAGCAACACTGCCTGTCGTGGCTGCGCTCCCTGCAGCAGGTCATACAGGTAAAGTCACATGTCGGCTGTTATCATTACAATATTGCTATTTTTCTCCATTTTATCTTAAGGTCTAAAAATTAAAGGTTACATTTTTAAAATTAAAAATACTTTCTGTGTTTTTGTTCTTCACTAGTCTCAGGCTCCAGTTGAGACTGTGCAGCTAGCAGTGAACATTCTGAAGGACTTGCTGCAATACTCGTCTCAGCTAGCAGAGCTGGCCAGAGAGGTTGGCCTCAACTCCATCCTGGGCATCCTCACATCCCTGCTGGGTCTCAAGTCAGAGGTGAGGTGACAAGGCGGTGAGTGGAAGGGCCCACCAGGAGGGCTCCGGAGCCCCTCTGGTGGAGTGTGTATCCAGGTACTTTGACACGCAGTTAGTGCCACAGAATGTGAGTGTTAGCCCTGCCTCTGACACCGCCCCACGACCCTGATGAGGATGGGTGAATTGAATGCCCTAAATTCTGTTTAGTTACAATCAGTGTTGGGAAGGTTACTTTTAAAATGTATTCCATTACAGAATACAGAATACATGCCCCAAAATGTATTTTGTAACGTATTCCGTTACGTTACTCAATGAGAGTAACGTATTCTGAATACTTTGGATTACTTAATATATTATCATGCTGTTTACAACTACATGA